CCCACCTGCGCCCCTGGGGGTCCCGGGCCCCCCTTCCTTTGTTCTTCCCGCTATTTGCATGAGGATTATCTAATGACGCAGTAAGGCTCGCCACAACGTGACCGTCGCCATTTTTCTGTTTTTATTCTATCTCTGCCATGTGATAGATTGGGGGGAGGGGGGTGTTGGAAAAGGGAGACGGGATTTAAAAAAAAACAACAAAAAACTTCCGGGTCTCATGACTGGGAAGGGAGAAAAACAAAAGGGAGACCAGACACAACTCCCAGGGAAGGGGGGTGGGGGTGGTGTGTGTGCGTGTGTGTGTGTGTGTGTGCTCGCGAGCGCGCGTGCGCACCCTTCCCTGCTCTGGACCGGGAGCATCCTCCCACCTAGGGAGCCCCGTGACCCCGGCGGGGCCGGAGCGCACCCTCTCGCCGCGCCAGTCGTTTGTCCTGGTCCCGCACCGCCACGCGCACACGGCGGAGCTGTCAGCTTCGTCCAGCCTGGCGGCCTCCGCCTGCCGGTGCATCCCAGAACTCGCGCTCGGGGCGAGTGTGCCGGTCTCGGTTACGTTCAGAGAAGTCTCACTATGACCTAAGGAAAGAAAGGATACAGTATTTCCCAAGTTTTAAAATAGTTTGCTTCGATTCTGTTGTTTATGACAACCGCGTGGCAACGCCAGACAGCATCTAATATTGGTACGAATCCTTACACTCTTTCTTTACCCCCTCTTCTGTTCCCAAAGGGGGACACACCCTTGAGTGGTGTTCCCTGGGGGGTGGTTAGGTGGGAAGGGACCATGCATCAGTGACTGACTGATTTGGGAGAAATTTCTAATGAGCCCTTGTTCAGAGCTGGGGAGCATTGCTGAAGGCTGTTGCATGGAGCAAGGTGGACTCCTGTTACACTAGACATTTCATTTTTTCCCAAGTCTCGTGTTCACCGTTGCTGGGGGGAAAAAAGTATTTGGGAACTCTGCCACATTTTTCAGTGAGATATAAAATTTTGTACTTTTGTTTACTACTGTATTTCCTTTGGGCACTTTCACTTTTGTTTCTCTTGAGTTTCATTTCTGGTTTCTTGTCTCTTTCATAATTCAGAGCAGAAATGGACTTTGGAGTTGACCAGGGATCCTCACTTTACAGGGGAAGAAACCTGAGGAGTGATGGGAATTGCTCAAGGCCACATATTTAATTAGAGTGGATTTCGGATGGAGCCCCATTCACCTGATAGCTGTGTTAGAGGGGTGGAGATGGAGGGTGGCGGATGGGCATGGAAGGTGGGGAATGGGCACCGAGGGGGAGAAATTGCTTAGTAATGTATGGCAGCAATTCTGCTTCGTAAAATTAATATCCTAGAAATTAAAGATGGAGAACACTTACGAGATCATTCCCTTCTTAGGATCGGTATGAATCGGTTGCTTCTTCAAGACCCCCTTTCTTAAGATTTGACTCAAATATATCTGTTAATTCAGATTCCACTTCACCTTTCCTGGGAAATTCTGTCATCTCACTGAACACCCCTACATGATTATTATGAATTGTGTTTTTTTTGTTTTGTTTTTTAGTAGTCACAGAGTTTACCTCTTCCCCTTTGTGCATCCACTGTGTCATTTGAATATTATTTCCTGGCGACTTTAACTCTTCAGTGTGCAGAACAGTTCATGTAACTCATGGACTAGAGGGTTAGCTTTGAGGGCCAGAGCCATGCCATGTTCATTTTATATCTCCTATGTTTAGCACCCTGCCTGGCAATGAATGAGCAAACAAAGGCGTGATGAAGGTCCTCCCCTCCATAATTCCATCCTGACCATTTGTAGGAAGTCCTCCCATGTTTCTGGTGAAAGCAGAACCCTAGAGATACTTTCTGGTTCTTAAGACTATTTTTTGCAGGTTTCTAA